GTCCTTGTTTTACACAAGAAAACACTGTGTAACATGTTGTTAGTGTTTTTTAGGTCATTGTTTTGTGGGTGTGTTTGTCGGCTGTCAACCTTTGCTAGTGTTCTGGAAGAATGAGTTTATTTGAGACCTGAATGAAGTGTTTTGGTAGTTGTAGTGCATTTTGAATGTGAAATGAACTGCTTTGCCAAGCTGAAGGTCAGTTAGGAGGATTGTGTGAAGAGTTTTGCAAAAATGACCTAAGTATTGAGAAATGTGTCCTAGCAGCTGTAAAAAACTGTAAACAAATATGTAGGACTGCTTTCATATGTAGGACTGTATGAGCTGTCCAATTCATATCTGACATTAACGTATAACGTATTTACAATCTTATCAAGCTGAAAAAAATGAATATACAATATTATTAAATAAAAAGTCTCCCAACTTTGATCCTCTCTCCTGTAAAGTATGTTCTTATTTATTACACCTCATTTTCTAGTCATTTTGATGTATGTCAAGCACTTTGTTGTTATACTGAACACAATGACATGTCCATCCATCAATCCTCTCGTTTATCCATTTTAGGGTCGGGTGGTGCGGGGTGTCCATATGAGAATCGCGCTAAAAGAATGCTTTTATTATGAAAAGTCGAAAAGGGGAAGTAGTTTGTTCAGCGCATGTGCAGAACAAATTAGTAGCAGTCGGGTTTCCGGTTCGGATTAGACAGGCTCGGTGTGTTCCGTCCCAGTAAAGAAACACAGGTGAGGTCAGGGTTAGGGCCTGGGGAGGTTAGCGGGCAGGTGTCGGTGCTCCCTGCGACTTTGTCCTCCGAACCTTCTCCGCGCAGCCGCAGACTCGCTCGGCTCGGCTCGGCATCTGCGTGTCCGGCTGACGGCGGGGAAAATGTCGAAGGCTGAGGTGCTGAGAGCGCTGGTGAAGCAGCGGCTCAACGCGGCCGCTGAGGAGATTTTCGCGCTGTTTGAGAGGACAATGGAGGAGTACGAGCAGGAGATCCGCCTGCACAGGAGCAGGCAGCCGGACGGACACCCTGCCGAGAGCCGGGGGGGCCCGCACGGTGGGTTACCGGAGACAGACCGGACGGCTAACACCATTGATGTGGTCGTTATTGTTATCGTCTTCATCACCATTGTTGTTGTTATTAATAATGACAATTTTTATTATTGTTATTCATGTTATTCTTTTATAATAATAACAACAAAATAACAACAATACTAATAAAAATATTACTTTTGTTATAATATTTATAGTAATAATAATTAATATTATTTAGTTGTTGTCGTTGGAAAGGATAAGCAGCTGTTCCAGATGTTGTAAATTTTAACTAGGCAGTTTAATTGTAAGTTGGGTGCAGGTGAGATGTGTCTCCGTAGGAACAGTAACCATGGAGAATAATTTTTCTCTGGTGTTGTGGATGGAGCAGCAGCATGTTTTCACTAACGGTGCAGGTGAGTGTGTGTACCTGCAGCCCCACAGGGACAGCTGTGGGGCTGCAGCTGACACCTCCCCCTCAGCACCTAAAGGAGCCACTATGGTTCAGCAGTGATGTCACCGCAGCCCCATTATTTTTCATTTAAATGATATACTGAAAGTTAACCCCCCAAAAAGAAGACAGTAACTGTTTATGAGTAACCGTGTTACACGACACTAATCACATGACCGTGCACTCTTAGATGGACGTAACCATGGTAACTAATCCTGCTGTCTGGTCCTCTGTAACAAAACCAAAATGTCCAAAATGAACTTCATGTTTTATTCAGTCAGCCTGAAAGCAGTGAATGGGACAGACGTATTCATAGCTCCAGAGGAGCGCCCCCTGCTGGTCACGTTTGGTCTGTTGGGCTAACCAGTGCTCGTTTCCTCCCTCTGTGTCCTCCAGGGTCTCCCCTGAGCCCCACAAAGTTTACGGCGGATAAAGGAGCATCACAGGAGCAGAAGAGCCCCGGTCTGCACCGGGAGAGTCCAGAACCGCCACGAGTCAAAGATGAACGTGAGGGGCTCTGGACCAATCAGCCGGGAGAGCGGCCCGGAGTGCACGAGGACCTCACCATCATTCCCGTCACCGTGAAGATTGAAGAGGAGGTGGAAGAGAGCACTCAGTCCCCCGACCTCCTTCACACCCGCAGCGAGCTCAGCAGCCGCCAGCTGCAGGCACGAGCTGGTGGAGAGGATCGAGCAGGACCAGAAGCAGCCAGAAACCTCCACCCGCAGCCTGTCAGGACTTCCTCTGACAGCGGGGCCCCAGAGGACGCTCCAGTGCAGAGCGGGAAACCGCCGTCAGAGGACGCTGTGAGAGACGCGGGAAGTAACTTAGCCAAGAAACCTTACAGCTGCTCTGAGTGCGGCAAACGCTTCGGAGGCAAGAACCACCTGCAGAGCCACATGAAGAGCCACACGGGGGAGAAAACGTGCCCGTTCTGCGGCAAGAAAATCTCCAAGAGCTCCAACTTCACCACACACCTGCGCGTGCACACCGGGGAGAAGCCCTTCACCTGCTCCGTGTGCAACACGAGCTTCAGCCTGCGCAACACGCTCGTCAACCACATGAGGGTGCACACGGGCGAGAAGCCGTTCAGCTGCTCCGTCTGCGCCAAGAAGTTCACCAACAAGGCCAACGTCATCACGCACATGGCCGTCCACTCGGAGGAGAAGCCCTTTAAGTGCAACGTGTGCGACAAAAGGTTCACGTGGCATTCGCAGGTCAAAAAGCACAAGTGCGTCGCCGAAAGCAGCAAGACGTGAACGCCACGAGGATGACAGCTCGGCGTGGCGTCACAGCTCAGCCAGCCCGTCGCTCACCCTCGCCTGACGGTGGAATCAAAACTTCATTCAGACATCAGCAGAAACCAGCGTGTTCCTGTTTTCACTGCAAGAACGACCTTGTGACGCGGACGCCGTCGGGAATGCTGTCCGTACACCGGCAGCAGCAGCGTGTCTGCACTCTGTGTGACATCACACGCGTGGTCACACCTGCTGCAGGTGGGAGGGAGGCAGCTTCGTAACCTCCTGGATCCGAGTGCAGTCGTGCATTGCTGAGTAATTAGAGTCACGTGTTTGTCGTCCACGTCGCACATGCTGCTGATCAGCTGACTGCGGTCAGGTGACAGGCTCCTGTGAGGTGAGCTTGTGTTATTGATAAAGCATGTGTAGGATGATTGGGACTGATGCGTGATCTCGGCTCTGTGGCTCAACCAGGTGTAACCTTTGCTGAGTGACCAATCAGTGCTCTGGAAGAGAAGGAGCACGTGGGAGGAGCCAGTATGAAATACAGATCCTCAGAAACAGTTTTGTACCTGCTGCTTCCCTGTTGCTGTCAAACAGTATAAAGCACTTTGACCTTCCTGTGGCCACGCCCCCACACACCTGATGTTAGGATAACTTAAACCTGATAGGTCAAACATATCCTGGTCATGTATCATTATTATTGTGTTTAGGAGAAGGCCGGCGTCTCACAGGTGTGTCACACAGTGCAGCTTCCGATGAACTCATTAGGAGGATTAGCTCATCGCTCGGCTGATACTGAGGTTTACAGGATGTCCTTTAACTGCACGTCTTCCTCTTTGTGAGATAAATAAATATGCAAATGTAACACTGAGGGCGGCTCAGTCACCACATCAGAAACAGTATTAGCTGGACTCCTGTAGTTTAGCATGAGCGCGTCCTCACTGACGTCCACCAGATGGCAGCACTGCCTCTTGGTTTGTTTTCCAGCTGTTCTTCATTTTCTGACCTTTTGTTATTTAATAAAGAGCTGAAACGCTGACAGACTCGTTTAATGTGTTGATGTCTTTGTGGTAAATAATGTTTTAGTCTTCAGGACGTGATGATGAGTGATTTCATCATCAAACGGGTCTGAATCTGACAAACGAAGCCAGCACGTTTCTTGATTGCAGGAAACATGTTTCACCCACACTGGAGTCTCATTTGGACCCTTCATAGATTTAGTAATGTTGTAACGGCAGCACAGACATGTTTGTGCTGCCGTTAATGTGTTAGAGCTGGACTCTGCTTCAGATGATGGTGGAGGTTTCATGTTTGCGAGGGCGACCATCGGGTTCCTGATGAACAAAGCGCTTCATAAGCTCCTCGGTTTCTGTCTGAAGAGTCCTCCTGGATCCAGACATCTTCCGCCCGCTGTGCCTGAACGCTCGCAGGTTCAGAAACACTTTCAGACGTCCTCTGTATGTGTGTCTACGCGTGAAACTGAGGGTCAGTGTGGTCGTGCTGGAAGGTGTACCAAGGATGTCGGAGAGGTCGCAGTGGGATCGCTGACATCATCCTTCCTGTGATTACCAAACTTCCCAGCTGTGGGCTTCAGGCCCATGCAGCCATGAAGGCTCGGACGCTTCCTCGTTTGCTTGGTGATTTTCTAGAAACCCTGAAATGTGCCAGCGTTTGCAGAAAACACGGACCAGCTTCCTCTTCGGCTGTGAGTCGGAGCTGCTAGAAAGATCAGGAAACCAGAGCCGAGTCCTCAGCTGGGAACGTTGGACGCGTCCACCATGGCTCGGGTCGCCCTCCTGTGTCTGCTCGTGTCCATCGGTAAGAATTTAAGCATCTCAGCGCTGAATGTTTAATATTTTAGTTATTATAAAGGCTGAAGCTGCTGCCCTTTAGCTCTGACCCGTCCTGGTCAGAGCTCCGCTGAAGTTAACGCGAAGCAGTCGCGCTGAAGCCTGAACCAGGTTTGGGATAACCTCCAACAAACACGGGTATTTATCAGAGGTTATCCCAAACCTGGTTCATCTGCTGGAGCGTGACCATTGCTGTTACCATGGTGATCCAGCAGGTAAACAGAGGTAAAGAGAAGCCGTTGGTCTGGGCTTGTAGTCCGGCCCTCCTCAGAGCTGACCCCACTCTCAGCTGAAGGAAGGAGCTCTGAGGAAGGTTGTAAATGTGACCTCGGAGCAGATTTACAGGAAACAAACAAACTGAAATCAGGAGTGAAAACGTGTGAAACGGATCCACTGTGGAGAGGACAGCTGGAAATGTGAACATGTTTACATAAAGTGGGTTTTGGTGCTCGGTTTTACTTTGAAAGCTTTGCTGTTTTTGCTTCCTGTGGTAAAGGTGTGGCACAGCTGTTAGTGTCAGAGGTCACGGCGGTATAATCAGCACAGCTCTGATGGTGCGTCATGTGACCTGTGTCCCTGCAGGGCGCTGCGTGGGTCAGAGGATCCTGTCAGAAAGCTCCGTGCACGCAGGTGTCGGAAGCAACGTGACGCTGAAAACGCCAAATCAGGACCTGCAGAGCTCGGCTCTGTTCTGGCACTTCAATGACGGGAAGGAGATCGTAACCGTTGCCTCGGTGAGCTCCTCCACGCTCAGACTGAACACGTCCTACGAAGGCAGAGCGTGGATTAATGCAGCCAACGGCCACCTGACCCTGGGCGCGCTGACGCCGCAGGACAGCGGGGAATATATCATCACCATCGTATACAAACACGGTCAGAGCGACGCCGCAAAGATACGCCTCACGGTCTCAGGTGAGTCGTTACTGGATCCCAAATCATTTTTATTCAAACCCAACTTCATGTGTCAGCCTGAAAACGTCATGCAGTCATCATCACAGCTCTGCTTCTTTATGTTGTTCATTTAGTTTGATTTTGGGTTTAACAGGGAGCCGGCACGGGGGAAATCCACGCGCTCGCTCTTCACTCGTCACATGTGGAAGCTCAGTTCTCAGCACGTACGGCCAAACCGTGTCAGGGCCAGGTGTGGCGGTCCCAGCTGCAACAATGACATGTAATGATTGGTATAAACATAAGTGCATATGAGAGCATGAGGGTGGGAATGGATGTTTGTATCTGTGTGTGCCTGTATGTCTGTGTCTATATGTCAGGTTGGGTGTCAGGCGCCACCTCTCTGGGGACATCTCAGGCCCTCCAAGGTTTGGAGGCCTATCTCCCCCTACCACCACTTCCCCTGCCAGTGGCGGACCCCCTCAGACATCGGTGCGTTGGTGGTTCTTTGTGTCCGGGGATGGGCGTCCAGGTACACACCGGCTCACTCCTTGGCGGCCGCTTATCGGGGCCTAGAGCCTGGGGCTCGCTCGGGCCACTTCGGAGGTGGGGTGCCCCCGGCCTCTCGGCCTGGGGCTCGGTCACTCAGGCGCAGCTGGCTGCTGGCGGAGCTCACGGGCGCGTCACTGCAACTCCCCCTGGCTTCTGCTCCGCGGCTGCTGAGTGAGCCCTCATCTGGGACTCTCCTCAGCTCTTTCTGGGACAGTGGCGCAGCTGCCCCTCTGTTGGTCTTCCTTGGTCTCTTGTGTTCTGGGGGCCTCTGGATGTCTGGAGTTTTGATCTCCTCCACACCTGCTTCACGCCCTGGAGGACGGGGCTGTGGCCCCCCCACACCCTCTAGCAGATTATTACATGAAGGAACCTTTTAAAAAACAAAAAACAAGCGCGTCCATGCTCACAGGTGTACACACGGATGATCACACCCACAAACTACACCCTTTTTGGCTCCTACCTCAAAGCACACTGTGTTCTGTTGATCTTATGTGCTGCACAATAATGTTTAACATTTAGTATTTACTGTCATATTCCCATATATCATTGTGATGTTGTTTATTCTATTACTCTTGTTCTCTTCTGCTTGCTTTCTTTTTTCTTTCTCAGCAGGTGATCCAGGTGATTGATATATGCATTTTTTTTTTTCTCTGCCCGTTCTGTTGGTTTTTGTCTTTTGCCCTTCTCCCCCGTCCCTCTTCTCAGCTGTTTCTCTTTCCCTCTTTCTTTCTCCCCTTCTTTCCCCCAGTCAAGTCTGTCCCGTATTCAGAAAGTGAAAATAAAATAAACAATAAAAGGTGAATCAAATGGACCATTACGGCAAGGCTGGGATGGTCAGTTTGGTAAAGTAAATCCGTTGGGTATCTTTCTTTGCCTTTAGACAACAATTCTGATGCAAAAGAGCCAAACGGGACAGGCCAAAAAAAAAAAAAAAAAAAAAAAAAAAAGATTGGTATAAACAGGCCTGAATACTGGACAGGCGCCACTCTTCTTTCTGCTGAAAGGGGAAGTGACACCATCACATGGATGCTCTGAAATAGTCTTTGTGTTATTTTAGGAGTGTTTGTGTTTTCTCAGCATCAACATGACGGCTTTTTCAGGAACTTTCAGCTTCACTGACACACAGATTTCCTCTTTTATTGAGAGCTGACTTCCTTAGAAAAAGGGAAGTGATGCACTCAGAGACTCCTGTGAGTGAGTCACTGAGACGTCTGTCGCCCCCTGCTGTTCACAGCTGGAACAGGACTAGTTTTCTGTCTCACGTCTCTAACGGCATTTCTCTGTTCACAGCTCCACCCACCGGCACCACCCCCACGCCAGCGCTCCCTGAGCAGATCACAGGTACTCACCTGTCTGGCAGCTTTATTAATATCCTGTCAGTGCAATAAAACGTTCTGTTTATGACCCTGAAACACGCACGTCCCGCTCAGTGTCGTCTTCTGTGTCCAGATTACTTTGTGTCTCTGGTTGTGTGTGTGGTTGTGATCGTCGTGCTGTCGACTGGCTTCCTGCTGCTCCTCTACAGATGGATGGAGAACAGGAAAAACAGGAAATCAGATGGAAGACAGGTGGAGGTAACTCCATCAGTGTTTCTGTCAGTGTTTAACCTTGCATGACAGATTAGTGCCACTAGAGGGCAGTAAACACCAGCTGCATACATACATGTGCTGTAACTGGATGTGTTAAATATTTTCAGTTACCTGCAGTCCAGCAGAAGAGCGGAGCTCCAGGATCCACATGTGACTCCACCTATGAGACCATGACTCCAGCCCCCACAGACCAGGACCACATCTACTCCACCCTCACCGACATGCAGTACATGTCACATGTGCGATTCAGTCAGACGGACACAATTTCCTGCAAATCAGTAACATCCCAGTAAAATCCTGAAATGTTTCCATCACAAACTCATCCACAGATACGTTTGTGATGTTTATAACTGTATAACTGTAAACATCAGTTATAATATTTATCATTTTCAAGTTTTTTTTATTTGTGTATGTTTGTTATCACTTCAGTTTATAAGCCCCGCCTCTCTGAGCTGTGGGTGTAAATGAAGGCTAACCCCTGAACTTTGTCCTCTGTTGCTGCCGTCCCTACAGACGCTGGATTTCACATCACGTATGTTACATGATTGTCACTAATCTAATGACTTAATAACTTTTGCTACAATGTGATTAAAGAGGCCACTTTGACCAGCTTCACATTAAAAGGACGTAAATAAGATTACACTAAATAATGACTTTTGGTATCAAACATAATTAACCTTTGTATTGTAAATTCTTTACATAGCTGAATGGTTCCTGTTTAACTGTGTTTAATAGTAAAACGTTGCAATGCTTCACACTTTATCTGATTCTTGCTCCTGTGAGTGTTGCTGGTCTGTTGCCATCGTACTTACTGACCTGTGATCATCTAATCAACTAAATCCAGCTATCAGTATGAGCACTGATGCTGGATCTGTACTAGTGTGCTACGATCAATACTTTGTTTCCAAGTCCAGCATGCAGCTCACTGAACTGTGTTAAGTCAGTCATTTCTTTGGAAATAAAAAATGTACGCCACGCAGTCACTATAAAAATCTTTTTCATGTTGGTTGTCACGTTTGTTTTATTTAAATCTAATCAACAGAAGCTGACCCGACGAGAGACAGGGACATTTACACTCAGGTCTACAAAAAACAGTTTCAAAATAAAAGCTGAAAGTATGCAAATTAATGACTGATCTCATGACACAGTGTTCTTCCCCACAGAAGCTACATTTGTGGGTTAAAGTATCAGTATTGGCATCGATGCTTATAATTGGCCGTGTATTTACCTGGTATCACATCAGTGCCAAAGTTTGCAGCATCACACACAACTGTCTTACTGAGCTGGTCCTGCTGATCATTTGAAATGATCTGAGAGCAGTTACTCAGACCTGCACCTGAGCGTTACTGCCCTGGTTGGGCCCAAGGTGACGCTGACATTTATCTATTCTGTGTCTACAGTTTCCTGAGCTTTCACATGTAAGTGTACGATGTTGAACAGCTTTCTTTATTCACTCTTACCCTGTATGTGAGTCCAGAACTCTGGGCATGACACTAACCTGTGCCTACATCTTGGGGCGATCGTGGCTCAAGAGTTGGAAGTTCGCCTTGTAATCGGAAGGTTGCCGGTTCGAGCCCCG